AGTGTGTATGTTAGTGTTAGGAGGACAAAATTTAGATTCTGAGAAACATACTCAAAATTAAAATCTGAATGGCATCATATGCCTACTAATTTGTTTCCATGACAACTCTGATTCAGTTATTGCACAAGATGCCCACATAAATGGGGAGAAGGGGAGGTTTTCATATCATCATCTTGTAGGTATGTGTATGTGTTCATAATCTTTTGCCCTCTTACATTTGACAGGAATTTCTATATTTAAATCTAATCTACCATGTCCCGCCACCTGGAATTACATACCATCTGTATGATATTCTTTCAGATAAGTGAAGACTGCTATTGTATCTACAGTTATCTTTCCTTAAGGTTAAACATGTCAAGCTCCTTCAATCTTGCTCTATTTGCATTCTTTTGCCACTTGCTGAGCCTTTTTCTAAATCCTTAAAATGAGATGCTCAGAACTAGATGCAATACTTCAGTTGGACCCTCACCAAAGTGGAATAAAATGAACGATTGCTTCCTATGATTTGGATATTCAATTTTAATTAATATAGCCTAAATTTGCATTTCCCTTCTTTGCAGCCACATCACCACACTCCTGGCTCATGTTCAATTTATAATCAATTGCTCTTTGCAAAACCACTTTTTATAAGTACTATACCCAGCTAGGAATCCCTGTCATATACTATCTCTGAACATATTTATTTTTTGTTTGGGAAACATTTACTGAGTGGCTGTCTTTAAGAATTTATTTTCAAGCTAGGTGAGTGTGGCTGGATGAATTACAGGTATGCTGCTGTACTCCAAAGAAGGGTTATGCTACCCAACCGAGACTTAATTAGCTTGCTAATCAGAAAGTCAAGGTATACTTTAGTCAAATGTGTGGCTAAAATTCCCACTAAGATACTATTCTGATCAGAAAATGAAGTCATGTGAGTCTGGCTAATTTATTGTTACTTAATTTATATTGCTGTCCATCTCAAGTTCATGACTGTGAGCAGCTAACAATTAAAAACAGTATAACAAAAATATACTGTAGACAAATCCATGCTGACTTCAATTGACTGCCATTGTTTGCAAAGAGTTTACAAACTGATCTCCTTTTGATCTGTTCTACAATCTTCTTGTGAGCCAGTTTGGCGTACAGGTAGTCCTCGACTTAGCTGGTGACCTTAGCTTAATCCAGCTGGTGACCTTGATCTAGTGACTTTTAATCGTAGACATTACCATGCCATTTCTGTAATCTTGCCATGAAAACTGCAAGAACTTGTTCAGGCAGTTTCCAGAACCATCAATACTGACTCAGAGACACCCCAAAACAAAACAAAGCAATCACCCCAGGTATTGTGGTCAACCTTATCTATTTTGTTAGATCCTCCTTCCTACTCCGCCTACCTCATCTTTTCAAACCAGGAACATTTGCTATTCTCCAATTATCTGGCACTTCTTCAGATCCACAGGATTTCTCAAAGGTAACACATAAGGGTTCAGAGAGATAATCAGCAAGTTCCTTTATTAGCTTTGGATACAATTCATCTGTCCTGAAGATTTAAATGTTCAAAGTAAAGAGGTATTTCTTGACTCTGCTTGTCAATCTCAAGCTCCCTTGCTAACCCTTCTAATTGCTCTTCAGAATTTCCTGATGGAATCCATATTATTTTTTGTTGGAGAGGATTGAACTGAAGTGTTTGAGCACCTTGGACTTTTCTTTATTACCTCTTGGAATTTTATCCTTCTTTCTTTTTCTTTTTCATTTCATTACCATAGCTCATTCTGAGTTTTTTTTTTCTTTTTCTCTAGCTCTACAGTTCTGAGCTACTTGTCTGTACACTTTCTGAAAGCTGTCTTTCTATGTCCTATCTATGTCCATATGCACTTTTTTTTCCACTAAGCATTCTGTGTAACCATATGGCTTATTCATCTGTCTTCTATTTTTTTCTCCTCACTGAAATGGTTTGCAATTGTCTTCAGGAACCCTCACGTGTAAAAGCTTCTTGTTCCATTAACTTCTCTTATCACAGATTCCTACTTATCACTGCTCTAAATTAACATATTTTTTTCTGAAGTGAAAAATATGTTTGCTCAGTGTTTGCTTTTCCTTAAAATCAAAGATGGAGTATTACATTATCATTTTACCAGGCAAAATATCAAGTCTAAGGACAGAAGATCCTCTTGTAAGCTTTCTTCTCCTGAGAAGACTGTGCTTTGTACAATTTGTTCCCCAGCAGATTATTAAAGTTATTAAAAGTTATTAAAATCTCACATTATGACTTTATGACCCTTGGAAAGATCTGCGGTTTGCTTTAATAAGGCTTCATCTACATCTTTGGTTAGGTGGCTGATTGTAGACACCAACAATAGTATTGCTTTCATTTTTTTTCTGCCACTTATTTTAACCCAGATGGTCTCTACAGCTTTGCCAACTAGGATTATTCACTTAACTTTTCCCAAACATTTCCACTTAGCACTAAGAGCACAATATCCTTTAAGAGTTTCATTGATTTCTTGAAACCTTGATCATCATGCTAGAATAATCCAAATTGTAGGAAAAAACGGACTGGTGTAGTACCTTTTGGACTAATCAAAGCACAATGCCATCTGGACCATTGTTATTTGGGATATTTTGGAAAAATTGTGAATTTTTGAAAATTCTCCTCTTTTCTTACTTGGAAACCTATTGCTCTCTTTTTGACTCTAGAGGGAGTCAACTTTTACAGTGAAGGGCACCCAGCATCTGTCTTCTTAAATACCTGTTTGGCTTTTAATATCAGAACTGCTGTATAAATATGAACTTGAGTGCTCATTTGTAAGTCACAGACAGAGTCAGTTTCAAATTACTATTCAGTTGTAGATATCACTGCAGAAGTGATTTAGCAGCCCTCTCCTAACTGTTGAGAAAGCTCTGGAGACATGATACAGAGAAATATAATATGCTCCTGTGTTTCACCTTCAGACATCAAGAATCACACAAGTATAAATCATCAAAATCCTACAAAACTATGTTGAATTATGCCACACAAGGTAGCTAAGAATCCTGCAGCATTTTTAAGAACTAACAAGATTTATTGTGGCACTGACATTTGTGGGCTAGAGACCACTTTGTTGGGGAAATATTATAATTTTCTGGGAGAGATGTGTATGCATTGACAGAGAAAAAAGCATAAACACGGTGGCAAAAAGAACATGAAATGTAAATCTATGCAGAACCCAAACAAAAAATCCTGTTCTTATTTTTAAATATCTTAAACACTGTGGCAAAAGAGTAGGAAGTGTAAATCTATGCAGAACCCAAACAAAAAGGCCTGTTTTTATTTTAAATATATTTGAACTCAACAAAAAAAAATATTCTAAAATTTATATTGTCCCTTAAAAATTCTCTTTATTTATTTCTGTCAATATTTATTAAGTATAACCTATGTATTCATGTTTATCAAAGGAAATACTGCATGCATCTGATAAAATAGGCTGTACTCCCTAAAAAGCTAATGCCACAACAAATTTATTGATCTTGTCACTGCATAAAGCTTTGATTCTTTACCATTCTTGAGATCTGAATTGCCATATAATTTAACTGTTGGGCCATATATTGCTTGATATACTTTCAAGCTTGAGTGACCATGTGGTTGATACATTTATAGAAAAGCATAAAATTATACAGCATGTTTAGCTACCTGATGTAGGATATAACTATTAGAAATTTTTGAAGGAAAACATCTCTCTGAAATATTCTGCATGAAATATGGATACAAAGTGACCTAAAGGTCTAAATGAAGTATTATTTATCAAATTATAGTTCTCAAATGGTTTCAGGGGCATTTGCAGCAACAGGTATTGACTTCAAAATAATGGTGCAGATAGGCAGACCCACTCTTTTTAAGTGTGTGTTGCATGTTGCAGGTCTTCAATTGCTCGGTTGAACCTACCATTTTGAAGTATTGACCATCACTGTGGACACTCCTGAATGACTTACTCTGAAGAAGTTACCTCAAGAGATCAAACTTCTATAAAGTAGTCTCATTTTACACTGGCAGCCTAAGCGCAAACACTCAAACTTATTTAATCTTGAATATTCCCTAATACAGAAGCCCCGAACCTTTTTGGGCACGAGGGACTGGTTCCGTGGAGATAATTTTTTCCGTGGACCGGAGGGGGCATGTGGTGTTCGCATCGTGGACGGGGCTTTGCTTGTTTGCACAAATAGGTTTCTGGCATGCTATGGACCGATGTCGGTCCACGGACCGGGGATTGGGGACCCCTACTCTAACAGCCACAGGGCAATACTTATAACCAGGGTGGTGAAAGTATAATAAAAGAGAGACATGGAGCCAAGCTTCCTAAGGCGTTGAACATCATTCATGGTTTTTTTTACAACTAACATCAAAATTTTGAAGTTCCAAAGACTGAATTTTATTGTATGGGATGTTTCCAAAATATTATATCTCATTATGTTTAAGCATACAAGTAATTGTAGATGTATCACTCTCCCTCCCAAACTTTCTAAAGCCAGCAATATTTATACCTGTAGATTTTAATCCCTGCTAGTAACTAGGTAACAGTACATTAAGTGAGCCACACAACAAAGGATATGACATACCATAACAGCGTGGGAGAAGTTCAGGGGATAAAGTACAAATCACATACTTTTAGGTGTGTTTCATTACCTACTAATGAAAGAAACAGTGTTAATTAGAGTTAGGTTTAATTTAACACACATATTTGAGAAGCCTTCTAATCTGGTTTATTGACAGGGTAAATGATTTAAACTCTACAAGGATAACTGAGGATTCCTTTTTGGAATAGTTTACTTCCAGTTACTAAACATGATCAGCATGGTCTCAAAGATGCTTTTTTTCTTCAAAAGGCAACTGGACTGGGTTCTTTTTTTAAAAAAAAAAAAATCTTCAGGTTTCTGAAAAAGAAAGAAAAAAGACGTTTCACTTCTCATCCAAGAAGCTTTGTCAGTTCTGATGGCGGCGGGGGGGGGGGAGAATGGATTCATCCCCTGCCATCAGAACTGATGAAGCTTCTTGGATGAGAGCAAAATGTTTTCTTCTTCTCCCTTAAAGAAAAAACAGTCCAGTTGCCTTCTGAAGAAAAAAGCACCTTTGAGACAATTATCACTTGGATGACTGAGAATCTTCACAGACATGATCAGCATGGCTCTTTTTATACTATCCCAATATTGGACACTTATTATCAGCATGAGTAATGTGAACATGGTTGTGGATAGATAAAACATATTGCAGAAAATGAAAATCACTAAAATATCGTTCTTTGCAGACTGCAATACAATTGTGTTATTGTTATCATCCCACTTCATAAATTGGATACCTATCAAATATAAACAAGCTAGCCAGCTTCATATTTGCTATAGAATATTGCCCTAAAAGTGAAATGTGGGTTTTTAAAAAGGGTAAAATCCTTAATATATCATATCCCAAATTAAAATTTCTTCTTCTAAAAAGGTTATAAATAATCTTTACAGTATCTGTACGAAGTGGTTAAAGAATGGCAATCAACCAGAAATGTTCTCATCCTCAGCAATAAATCCTTCAAATGTAGGAATGTATCATAATCTGAGCAATCTCTGGTTGAACTTTGGCTAACACTGTTTATAGCTTTTGTATAAATTGTTCAGGTGCACATGGTTAAAAGATCAGGAGAACCCTGATTCTACTGAGATAAAAAGAGGATAAGAACAAGAGCAAGGATTCAACACTTGCATACAACAATGGCCCATTTCAGAAGAAAGCAATACAACCCACAAAGTACTCTATTTTAATGGATGTTACGGTCAGCAACCCGGGCCCCTCTTAATGTTAATATGGCAAGAACCTCATTATCTCTGGCCATGTTGGATGGGAGTTAGCATCCAATGATAACCAGGCAGCTACAAGCTACCTCTGACTTATTGGGATATCTCCACAGTTATTTAATTTAGATTCCTTTTCTAAAACCAAACCAAATAAACCTCCACCATTCTGATATTTATGATCAGTAGAATCTCTGGCAACAGAGAAATATTTTGTTAATTTGAATTTTGTAAAAAAAAAAAAAGAAAAAAAAAAAGAAATCCCTGCTCCCTTGTTTGCCACTTTCCAGTTTTTTTACTGACAGCAGTCACCCACCTTTAAAAAGAATTATTGCCTGACATTTCACAGAGCTTTTACTGCTTTTCTTGGAACAATGCAGTGAAAAAGAAAGACTCTCCTCTCTCTTGTCATGACCCAGTTCTGGGCTTGTGCTTTTTTGATGAGTCTTTGATCTGCAACAGGCTTCATAGGCTCGTTTCCCGAAGGAACATGGTGCCAATGTTGTAGGATATCTTTCTCACTCTGGCAGATGTGACAGAGGACTTTGGCTGCTTCTGACCAGTTCTGACCTCCAGGAAATAACAAATCCCAGGAATTTCCTTTGGAAAGTTTTCTGGAAGCTCTTCACGGGACCGAGGAATGAAGATAAAATTTTCTTCTTTTTTCAGAAGCCTGAAGATAAGGGAAAAGACAAGAATGGGACAACTTTGAGCAATAGTTATCAAAAGGCAGTGCACTTCATCCTTAGGTTGGTTACAAAGACAGTTAAAGATTGGAAATTCAGCCAGTTGACTGGTCATTGTTTTTTGTCTTAAATAAACAGAGTCACCAAGTCAAGCAGATCAATCTGAAGCCACAATTCTTTGGTTCTTGCACATGTGGAAAGAAACTCTGCAGGTAAATGTTGCTTTTATGGACTATTCAATCTCCTACCACCAATACTTCTGGTGACAGAAGGGGGGGGGGAAAGGAGTTTCCAGGAATACCTTGCATCTGCCACTCATCTGAAAAGCCCAATAATTGTGTCCCTAAGCGGTAGGCACTTGAAAGTATGAGTTTGAGATCTCATTTATATGAATGTATATGCCATTCATCTCACTGTCTAAGTGACTCTGGGCAGATTACATAGAAACATAAAAACAATTAGAATTAACAAGAATTAAGCAGAGACTAAAACCAAGTGTATAGAGGTGAACTTTTCCTCTTTTACGCCATCTACCATCTCCACCATAGAGTGCCCCATTGGGGCCCAAGCCAACCAGAACAGCTGAGTTTTAAGATCCTTCCAGAAGCCAAGAGACTTTTTCCCTGTCTTGTGTGTCTTGCTCCCTTCCTTACCATCATGGTTGACTTTTATGTCAATTTTAGTGTTAATGTTTATTATTTAACTGTTTATCTTGCTCCTTTTATGGTTTGTAAGCCATCTAGAGTTGTCTCTAGGAAAGATAGGGGGCATACACGTTTAATGAAAGAATAAATAAATTAGTATTACTGAAAATAAATCTAGTATGTAGTAAATACGAGCACATATTGATAGAAAAAAACAAATTTACTAACAAAGTTGACACCATTATCTCTTCATATAAAATTTCATACAGATGTGACGATAGATAGATAGATAGACAGACAGACAGACAGACAGACAGACAGACAGACAGAAAGAGATGAGAGAAAGAGAGAGAGAAAATTTTGAATCTAGTTCTACAGGAATGTAAAACTCTTTAGGATAAATTTGCTTAAGAAATTCATAAAATGATATGAAAAATAATAATTATAGTTTTTATTATATAAGCCAGTTCATAACTTCTCAAAGATTAAGATCTTTAGTTTTCTTTTTTTGGGTTAAGAATGTTCCTCTAGAAAAACCTCACACATGTTAATCCACCATGCCAAGCATATTCTACTAGGGCTAGTTATTATGTCTGTCTTTTTTTGTGCTCTATGTCAGTGTTTCCCAAACTTGACAATTTTAAGGCATGAGGACTTCAACTCCCAGAATTCCACAGCCAGCAACACTGGCTGTGGAATTCTGGGAGTTGAAGTCCACATGCCTTAAAATTGTCAAGTTTGGGAAACACTGCTCTATGTTATAGGTGGCCTTTGCATTTAGAACATCTATCATTTTCCTCCCACAGACGTTCAGACCTTACTGTTATTTACTGTACACTGATAGGCTAAGCCTCATTAGATTAGAACTCCTGCTCAGGCAGCCATTCTCTGAAGGAGATTGTTGCCTTGCAGTTGTTGTCTGCTATATTCTTTTTTGTACTAGTTGCAATTCCGTGTTAACTGCCCAGGGTTGCAGTTTTTGAGTCTGAATGGCCATATACTTTGATTCAGTTACATAACAACATGCATACATATTTTCAACTGGTTCCTCAGAGGTCTGGCCTTGCATTTTCTCATTTTTCATTCCATTGATCTTCTACATAAATTATTCCAGTTCAAACGTCTATTTGTTCTTATTTTATAGCTTATTAGTATTTGAATCTTTCAGGATGTTGCCTTTGGCTCTTCAAATAATGTTGTCAATAATGCAAGAAAAACTGATTGAAGACTTTATGTAAATTGATTGAGCAATGTTAGCACCTGACTTTAAAGGCTAATGTTGGTGTAGCAGATTGTATTTTGGACAAAGTTAGAATCATTTGTACAGCAGAGAGAAATGTATATTGAACATTTTTGTTAGAAGATATACTGGAGATATCAGCACATAGATTACAAATGTCTTGAGTCATATGATTAAAAATACTGAAAGGATTAGAATCTTGAACCATTTTAAGTAAAAGTAGTTAAAATTGTGACATCTCATATCTACTTTTTAACTCTGGAGTTATGTGTTGTTGAGAAATGCACTGATGGTTCTGTGGATGGAAAATGAAACAATAAATAATGCTAACAATGTTCCTTTGGTTTATTGAGTTTTAATTATCCATTTGTTTGTTTACACATAAATTGAAATGGATTATTAGGTAGCTGTTCTCTTGTGCACTATGCATAGAATGGTGCTTTTGAGATAGTAAACAAGTGCTTTGTTAAGTTAGCAATTCAACTGATCTCACTGATGCAAAAATATGTTTTCCATTTGACATTTATTTAAAATTATACCTGCACTTTCATTTAGTAAAAATACATAAGGCAGCTCAAAAACAAATTTAAAACAGTACAATATAATACAAAATTTATCATTTTTATTTGCTTGGCTGCAGTGGCAATAAACATGTCAATCAAATGTATCTCTCACTAGGTATATTTATAAAGATTCCAACAAAAGGAAAAGGTCATTTTTCTCTTTTAGTTGCCAAAGAATACAGGGGAGTTCTTGACTTGTGGCCTCATTTGAGCCCAACATTTCTGTTGCTAAACAAGACATTTGCTGGGTGAATTTTATCTCATTTTACAACCTTTCTTGCCATAGTTGTTAAGTGAATCACTGCAATGGTTAAGTTAGTAACACAGTTGTTAAGTGAATCTGGCTTCCCCATTGATTTTGCTTATCAAAAAGTCACAAAAGGTGATCGTATGACCCTGTGACACTGCAACCAGTCAGTTGCCAAGCATCTGAATTCTGATCATGTGACCATGGGGATGCTGCACTGGTCATTGGTCACTTTTTTCAGTGCCATTATAATTTCGAATGGTCACTAAACAAACAGTTGTAACTTGAGGACTAACTGTATATCCTTGAGCATTAGGGAATTCTGTGGAATTATATGGTCAGTTGTCCATACAGCTATGTAGGAAATTGGGGTTGGGAGATACCTTCTGAGGAATGGGGCAGAAAGCCTTATCATTCAATGTTCTACAAACCTTGTCCTTGTTCCTTATTGCTTTCTACTCTTCATTTGAATTTCAAAATCAAAATACTTTTACGGTCCTCCTTAAACATAATAAAAATAAAACAAAATATGAGACAGCTTAGCAAATATGTAGCTATTAATCTTTCTCCTCTTTCTTATGGGGCATAGATGTAGGCCAGAAAGAGGCCATGGTTTTAGGCCAATGGTCAGGTATAGAATTTTGAGTGCATCCTCTGCAATTTCTTACACAACAGGTGACACTGATCTATCGGAGGGCAAATGGAAGATATTTCTCCATGCCACTCATGTTAGTATATGTGGATGCTTTGCAACACACAAGAGTACTTTTTTAAGGGATTTTGGTAGTGGGAAGATTATACCAACTTCCAATCAAATCATTATTTTTGTTTTCTAACGATACCTCTGAGCCTATGAGAATTCTTGTAAATAAAGATGTTGGAGATTGGTGTCTGGTGGGTGTGTTGTTGCTTGTAGTTTGTGTGTGTGAGAGAGAGAGAGGGGGGGGGGAGATATTGGGCTGAGATCATAGCACGCACCAAGAGAAATGTCCACATATATTATGGCTCCTGGTCCTGTTTAGAAATTTGCCCTTTTTGGAACTTTGTCTTCTATATATTAACGGAGCAATAGAGCAACATAAAATATGAACCTGAGTTCAGAAACAAATAGGCAGCCAGGGATGTAATATTTCAGAACCCATCTAATATAGTTTGGATGTTTTACTCATGTCAACATGAAAGTTCACTGCAGTAGGCTAACTTTGATAACCAGCATGACTAACCGAAGCAAGAACAGCTGAAAACAGGTGAAATGAGAGTTGATAAATCAACTTTGTCATCAACACTGCCTGGCTTTCCACCAATAACAATGTGCTGGAAGAACTTATCAGGTGGCTATTTCAAGTGATTGCAACTTTAGATTTGTGTGCTCCTCTAGAATAAATTGTTATCTTGCTACCAGCTGAATGACAGATCAAGACTTGCACAAAGTATTATTTGCCTATCTACCTACTCTCTTTTATCTATGATTCATCTGTCAGTTATATCAATTAAACCAGAGTGAGCAAAAGGAAGCAAACGGGGTGGCTATTGAAATGAAAGTAATATTAATGAAAACTTCTAATAGGAAGGGCTACAGCTCACTCAGGACAAGTTAATAGCTAAACTGCATTTTTTAGCTGTTGTATCTGAGTAAACACAGTTCATTCTTCAAATACTGTGTACAAATTCTTTGAGGATTGATTACCATACATGGGTTTACATGAATTTCAAAGATGTTTTAAAGTCACGCAAGAAGCAACGCTGGAGGAATATACCAATACTAGATAATGAATCTGTTTCCTTAAGTTTATTTTTTTTAAAGGTGCTACATAGTTTAAAAACACAAATATCTTAGGACTATACAGAAGGTCAGAAATCCTTTCAAATTCTATCGTATACAGGTAATCCTCTGTTTATGACAACTAAGTGATGTAGTTGTAAAGCACAACTTCATGTGACTGCATCACTTAGTTACAGCAGTTCCACAGTTACAATTGCTTCAGTTAAACAAGGAACATGTGGGGGTCATTAAACAGGACCACATATGATTGCCACTTCAAACTTTCGGCCAGCTTCCTCTGCTTGAGGGAAGCTGGTAGGGAATGTTAGAAATCGCAATAATGTGCTATGACAGTCATAACTACTGGATCCAATCTGGGTCTGTCACTGGGACCAGGGATTTTGTCTTCTGAGCTTTTGGACTTATGCTGGGGCCCATCTTCAAGGAACTTCTCTCTAGCGGAGTGTTTTCTGAAGATGGGCTCCAGCACAAGTCCGAAAGCTCAGAAAACAAAATCTCTGGTTCCATTGT